TTCCCCAAAACGCGCTTCTTACCGGAAAGCCGTGAGCTCGTATCAGATGCTAACCATCGCTGCGGACGGTCATCTCCAGCTTGGATCTTCACCTCTACCTTTACTCTTTATATAACTTTCCTTGCCTTTGCCTTTGGTCTCATGTTAAGTTAGCAGTGGCACTCATACGAGTATATAATAAATAAATAAATAAATAATAAATAACCTTTGCCCAAGTAGATATCAGGCAACACGAACGTGCATCTATCCGCCGTTCTCTCTTCGCTTCGAGTGTTTCATGAACTCATCTCTGGACCTACTTCAGAAATATGTGTCATTTCGCTGTTGCGAACCATGCGTTTTCCATGGGACCAAAGTCCAATGTCCCTTTGAATGCAATGGATATGGTGACGTGGCTTAAAGGGGAAATAAGCCTGCCATAAAAGGAAGCGGGGCGAAGCATACGATATGTGGCGCTCAAATGCTTATATATGCCAAGTTTTACCTATTTTCACTGCAAACCGTCTTTGATTCTCGTCCCTGTCTCTGAACCAGGGGCCCAACCTGACGGCCCCATTTCGTGTTTTTTCACCCATTTCTTTTTTTATCTTCATCACCGCTGCGCCACTAAGCGCCTCAGCTTTTCCTTTTGACCATCAGCCAAACTAGCTGTTCACTGCTTCTTACATCATTCGATTGTTGATCATCAAGAACAAGCTCCCCTTGAATGTGGTTCACTAGGACAACTTCTTCAGTGCGGAACACTTTTCGCTGCAGGAACCTCAGGTCCATCGCTGATCATCAGTGGACCTTAAGTTCCCGCCGCGAATAATGTTTCGTGCGCGGCGCGCGGCGGGAAACGGAAATTAGCCTTCTTCTGTGAACCACACCCCAGTCGCTTAACCTTCACAGATATCTAAAAATTTCTACGGATTAACTAAAAGGCTAGGTTTTTAGGCCTCTACATCCATGCGCTTTTTAATAAATATCTAATCTTTTCAGAGAACTGTTCCAATCTCCACTGTAACGACTAAATCATCTTTATACGTTCGTGATTCTATTTATATTGGGTCTTCCATCGATATGTATCCTGGGTTTATTCCACCTAGGGGAGGGGGGCTTTTCGGCGAACTTGTATGAACCTGAACATTCCAGCTTTTCACGCCTGTCAAATGACTGCCCTGCACTCTCTCACGAGGGTGGCAAAACAGCCCGTTTGGCGTTTCGGCTGGGACCGTATGCTTAATGTTGGGGAGGGGATGGGGTCCCCAACGGTCGACGGTTTACTTCAACTCGGTTGGTACGATAGGAGAGTACTGACGCAAGTGGTGCAGCTGGTCCAGCAGCTCCGCCAGAGAAGGCTGGTTTGCTCACCCCAGGACTAAGCCTTGGAGAGGGGACGGACCCGTCCTCTCTTTAAGGCTTAGTTCTGAGGTAAGCACCAAATTGTGGCGGTTCTAAGGACCGAGTTGAAGTGGTCCGTCCACCGTCGGGGACTCCATCCCCTCCCCAACATTCAGCATACGGTCCCAGCCGAAGCGCCAAAAGGGCTGGTTTGCTTACGTCCCCTCTCCACTGGCCCTGTCTGGCTATCACTCCCTGCCTCGGTGTTGCCTTAGCTTTCTGGAGAAACTGCATCATGATGCCTCCTAACTGGAAAAGACCCTGTATCCTTTTTATCTGAATGTCCGAATCTATTTGCCAAACGTAACAAACATATCTTTGTCATTATCGCATAATCTCCAAAGTTGTGAAGCAGTTCGCCACGCACGCTTCGTTTGAATCGCACTACTTACGCGAAATGAGCGTATGAAGCGATGCGCGGAAGCAACTCGAATTGCGGCCGATCAGTATGCATTTTTTATTCCTTTCGTCTTTTACTTCACATAGGGGGCATGTAGTAAGTATTTTATGAGCATTGGCGTCGAATGTTTGCGTCTTTGTTGACACGCTCAAGTAATTACCAACATTGGTAGCATCATACGTAATTTCCCTTGAACTTCTAAAGGCCAAACTGGATTTCAGGCCCATGCATCATGGTCAGAAAACTTCTGTTTGATGAAGTGTACTGGGCTGCTGCGATTATTTCAAAAGAATGAGTTCGACTATAGGCACCGCGAACGGTGATAAAATTTCTTCTATTTCGGGCAGTGCGCACTCATGCTTTTCAGTGTTGCAGCCTCCCTCAGCCTAGCAGCGTAGGGGCAAAGGTTAGGAAGAAGGCATTTGACACTGACTAATTTTTGGGATGCGCTACCGATTCCGCGTTTTTACGAAATTGCAGTGGCATTTAAATCGTATTCAACTTTCACAACGATTTAGGGGAGGAAAGGGGAGGGTTTGGTGACTGGGTGGGGCTCTTGGGTATCCGACAGAGGCCCGTCGCGCGGTGAGAAGGCAGGGAAGCAGACGTACGGCGGCCGAATCGCAACGTGTGCGGTAGCGATTTGGCGTAAAGTTATATAGAATGTACGATAGTACATCCCACACCGCAGAGTTTACGCTGCGACTCGTTTGTTTCCGTCTGTGTCTCTGCCTTCCCGCCGCGCATCGGGCCTCCTGTCAGGTACCTTTGCACTTTGACAGAACGCGATTTTTTTCGCTTTTCGCAGCGCGAAGCTCTTCCCTGCGGGAATCCGAGGTGCACTAGTAAGCTGGGGCCGTATTCTATCCTTCCCCCAAGGGGACGCGTTCCGCCGCTGATTCCATCCGCAGATTGAGGGAGACAGGGTTGCATCATGGGACCAGCCATACTCTGCATTTCTAAATACCAGACAGCATGACCCCTTAGAGAAAAGTGGTTAAATAGGAGAGGGCAGCTACAACAGTACGCGTTTAATAACGGGCCCTGACGCAAGTTTTCCCCAAGTTTAGGGCAGAATCAGCTGCGGGGGACGCGTCCCCCTGGGGAAGGATGGGATACAGACCGTGGGGTGAACCTGGGGTTTCCGCAGCGACCAAGTCTTCGCGCTAAAAGACGCGAAAATTCGCGTTCTGTCCTAGTGACCCACCACCTACGCGACTGCTGGAACTTTTTCTTATGTCAAAAACGCTAGAGTCCGAATGATTAGAAGAAGGCGCCTAACGCAGCTTTAAACGGTGCCAAGCAGGAGGTACGTGATGCAGGGGAATGGAGGCAGTTAAGGGGAGTGCGTGAAAAACTTTTCATATGGCAAAAGTTAGATCGTGCGCGCTAAAAATGATATGAACCGCTACTTAAGAGAGACAGAAGGCGAGGGCAGCTTATTGATACTGTGAAGAGGACCGAGTTCATGTCGTCCAGACAGGGAAGGGAGCGATTAGTCGGCCTTTTCATCAATCAGGAAGAGTGTGACGTATAGCAATGGGTCGGGACGGCCAGAGGGTGGCGATGGGCGGGGTTGGATGTGATGCGTGCGCGTACGCGACGGCTAGCGGCGTTACTTACCTTCAGTACCTCCGTGCTCGGAATTTAGCCAAGGAGGCTGTTAGTCAAATTCAATCTGTCAAAAAAAAAGTATCCTTCTGAAAAGTGCGGACTTCTACTTTTTTCCAAACTGTATAAAAGAGTGTGGTTCAGTACGACAGAAAGCGACTTTTTCGCGTTTTGCAGAGCCGAAATTTTTCGGCGCGGGAACTTCGGGTCCTCCTTTGATCATAAGTGGACCTAGAGCCCCCGCAGCGAAAAATGTTTCGCGCTGCGAAGCGTGAAAAAGTCGCTTTCTGTCCTAGTAATTCTTCTGGTTCTATGATAGATTTGAGCTTTTCTCAAAGGCATTGGCTTGGTTTCAAGTCAATTTAGATCCTGTAAGGTCCGACAACAACTACTTTAGAATGAGGAGTCTTCTTGGGTTGTTCTTTTTCGGAACACTTGCGGTGCTCTCGTATGGCTCGGAGAGGGTCCCGGATATCGAAGCACTACCAAGAGGAGTTCCATACAATCGTCAGTTGTTCTGGTTTTTTCGAATATGGAAACTGACGTTTTCTGTTTTCGTTTTTTCTTGTGCTATATCAACCTGGAAAGCATTATATCACCACTTTCAGGGGGTGCGCTTTACAAGAAGTCATTCGAGTTCGTCTGCCTCGACGGTTCCAAGAGCATTCTCTATTCTCAGGTAAATGATGACTACTGCGACTGTCCAGATGGAAGTGATGAACCAGGTAAGGCCATTATTTCAATTTTCTAAAGACCAGCCAGATTTTGGGTTTCTTTAATTATCTGTTACAGGAACTTCTGCTTGTCCCAACGGCAAATTTCACTGCGCGAATAAAGGCCATACGGCCGCCGATATCCCGTCATCGCGCGTTAATGACAGAATCTGTGGTATGTTCTCCGTTTCACTCTTTTCTTAACAGAAACGACGTGTACAGCCTCGTCATGGAAATTTCTTAGATTGTTGCGATGGAAGCGACGAATACAGCGGCGCAGTTGAATGTTCCAACATTTGCGATGAGTTGGGCCGAAGCGCTCGCGAAGAGAGCAAAAGACAGGCAGAAATTGCGAGAAAGGGCTTTGCTGTTAGAAAGCAGCTGGCTTTGGAAGGGCAGAAGCTAAGGGTTGGTTGCATGTTATACTTAAGATTTATCATCAAATTTCCAACAATGACTCCAAATATTCATGTCGTACCACAGTTTCTACATTCCCATTCCTTCTCTACCACAGGTCCGAATGCGAAGATCACTACGTTTTTTTTTAATTCTACATGTTTCTTGCTTCAAAAGTTTCTTGTAAAGGAAAGGAGAAGTAACCTTTGATAGACACAAACAATGTGAATAATTATTTTTTTCATGTTTTTTTTTACCGGTAGCTCTCCTCTCGTTGGGGCTTTGGACCGACCGTGGGTGTTCTAAAATGACTGTTTTTAAGGATGAAAAGATACAAGGCGTCGCTCCTCTGAAAGAAGAAAAGGAGAAGCTTGTCCCCACGAGAGAGGAATTGCTGAAGAGGAAGAACGCAGCTATGGAAAGAGAATCAGCACTGAAGAACAAGCACAAGGAAGCATGGGAAAGTCGTCAGCTCTGCGTTTCTATCTGTGAATTTGGTCGATTCATAGATTGGCGTGAAGCTGCGATGCTCGCATTGTGGTTTTAGGAGGTCATGGAGGAACTCAGGGAGGATCTAATAACCTCTGCTCGCTCTCAGAAGCAATACTTCACCTGCCACTGAATTTTCTTGACACTATACTTTATTTTTCATCGGGAGTGATAATGAAATAGAATTAGGGGTACGAAGGACTGGCGTTTTGCTCTTTTGGATTGCGTGTACTATTCTAAATCGCCTTGTATGTTCACAACGACTCTGGCTTTTTTTCGCACTTCGAAGCAACTCCCCAACAGAAGCCGTGTCGAGGATCTTTTCAGTGGCTGGGATATGAGTACCACGTGTAGCACAGATGTGCCGTTGTCGCAGCTCGGAAATGCGTGATGGTGGCGTCAGGGTCTTATAAAGTAGCATTTGGCTATATAATCTTAGCTTTTGGGCGATCTACGTCGTGCACTCCCTATGGCACGCAACGTGGAACGGCGTAACGGCTGATTCAAATTCGCGTGGATCAGTTGAGCCGTGGGGAAGGCAGTTTCATAGGATTTTGTCACTCATATTTGTCTCGCATATTTTGTGCTGTTCGCTACTGTCGTTGTCGTTCTGCGCGTAATGCTCACTCTGTCTTCTTATCCCGTTGCTATTTTTTCATTACGTTCTCATCTTATTCCTTTTTCTCTTTAGTGAAATGTCGTTGTAGCAAAAAGTCAACAGTCTAGTTTGAAGGCGGAATTCACAATAAGAAGGCAGACCATTAGAATTAAGGTAGAGGTGGTCAGTGCTATCGGAATGAATGAATAACCATGAAAAAATGGCCCAGAGCCCGAGAAAT